CCATCATGGGGGTGCACGTGAGCGACACAACCGCAGAACTGCTCACTATTGCGGGTGGGTACATACATACATACATACATACATACATACATACATACATACATACATACATACATACATATGTACAGACATATATACTTAATTACATACATACTTACATAGTTGGTTTGTGCCTGAGTGACTCAGCTTTTACGTACCATCTCCTTCCCCCCCTTATCCGCCCCACCCGTACCCTGGTCTGTCTGTCCGTCAGACGATCCCCTCATCTCTCTACAGCCCCGGGGCATCATCGACATCAAGGGCCGCGGACCCATCACCACCTCCTGGCTCCGGATCGACCTCCTCGCGCCCATGGGCACCTGGAATGGGGAGCATGCAGCCGGCGGGGGAGGGGCGGGGGCGGGGGGCGACGCAGGCACCTCGACCGTCGGAAAGGGCGGCACCGCCGGAGCTGTGGGCGCCGGAGCTGGCGGCGGTGACCAGGGCAGCAAGGCTGCAGCGGCGCCGGCTGACATCGCTTGTACGGCAGACCTGGCGGTAGCGGCGACGCTCGGCGTACGTGGCGCCCCGCTGGTACGAAAGTTGTCGCAAACCGGTTTGACGCAGACACGTCGGGCGCTGCCCGACCGGCGGCAGCGGGAGGGTCGCGTGTACGACAACTCCATTCTGGGTTCCTTCACGATGAGGCTGGAACCGGAGACGATTGCTCTAGTACGGGAGATGCTCGCAAGGCCTACGCCGCCGCCGTCGCCGACACGCGCTGCACGGCACCGGGCGGAGGTGGTCGTCGCTGCAGCCGTGGGGGCGACGGCGACGACGCTGCCGTCGGCCGTTGCCGAGGGCACCGGTACGGTGTGGGATGCGGCGAGTGTGGCCTGCTCGGTTCCCCCCCCGGGAGGTGCGTTGGGCCCCCGGGGCTTTGGTGCTGCTGGGTTTGTTGGCGGCGCGTGCGATGTTCCCTGTTCTGGAGGTGGGGTCGGGGAGGAGATGGTGGGGCGGGGTGGGGAGGGGGAATGGGCGGTGAATGGGTCAGGTACGGGGCCCAGGGCTGTGAGGGGGATGGGGCCCGCGGCGGCCGCCGTCTTGGAGATCGAGTTGGGGTGATGAGCCGAAGTCAGTGAAGGGGGGCCAAGGGCGTGTGCTTGATCGAGCGGGCGACAGGCGTATGTGTTTGTATGTATGTAAGTGCGCGTGCGTGCGGCTGGGCAAGAGATGACCCGTCCTTGCGCTTCATGTTACCCCCTGCAGCTGAGGGATGAGGGGTGGCGAGAAGTGCATTGATGGGTGGGTGGGTGGGTGGGTGCGGGTGTTGAAGTCGGGTGATGCTGATGTGGTTGGACCTTACCTGGTTGCACATCTCACCTGCGTGGTGCAAGTGTTGTGTTGTGTGTTCGAGTGAGGCTGCACAGTCCTCGCTTTCATCGGAGAGGGCAACCTGGGTTGGTGAGTCGGTTGGTGAGTCGCTTGGTTTCGAAGTGTCGTCGGGTTGTGGTTAGGTGGTTGGCGATTCTGGTTAGGGTTGCGAGGTAATGGTGGGGGTTGGGGACAGACATCGGCAAAAGGAGTATTTCTGGTTTCGGGAAGGGGTCCATTTCTGTCACTCACCACTGACTGCCGTCTCCGGCCGTCGGGGGCCCCCTCCGGCTGCAGAGGAGCTGTCGTATCGGATGGCAGGAGAATGATTATATTTCTGCAAGCTGGCCGGCTTCTGGAACTCTATTTCTGTTTTCGGGAGTTTCGGTACGACACGACACTCCCGAAGCGTTTGCCCATGTCTGGCTAGGGAGGCGGCTGAGGCGGGTGAGGGCGATTTGGGGTGGGGTGGGGTGGGTTGAAGTCCCGGGGCGGCTTGTTGGGCCTATGGAGCGGTTGATCTCCCGTGTGTGTGTGTGTGTGTGTGTGTGTGTGTGTGTGTGTGTGTGTGTGTGTGTGTGTGTGTGTGTGTGTGTGTGTGTGTGTGAGGGGGTTGCACGGTTGGAGAGTGAGCGAGTGGGGGGACACAATCACCCACGCGTGCTCGTGATTTTTCGTATTTAGTTCGGACGGGTGGCGGGACAGGAGTTACGGACCGATGTGGGTTTGTTGATGTTTGGGTTGCTTTCGGATATTGAATAAGGCGCGCAGCGGGAGTATGTATGTATGTATGTCATACCAAGCTGATCGTGATGGTATGTTGATGATTCCACCACCACGATGACCACTTCTGTCGCCCCATCTCGTCCACCTCGCGCAGCTGCTCGCAAGGTAACAACTTATCATTGGTGCATACGTGAGTACATATGTATGTGCGCACGTATGTATGTGTCTCTTTGTGGACACGAAGGGTTACTGGGGGATGTACGGCGACAGGGTGTGAAGATATGTATGCTGTGCAGGCCATGAAACCTCGTAAGACGAAAAATTAATAAGACTGCGCCGCGTGGGCACCCGGAGGGCCCTCACACGCTGGGGAGTCCTCATCGTATTGTGTCGTGTCAGCAGTTCGGATGATGAACCGGTGCCATGTCCTTTGCGGCTGGTTTGGCGGCTGGTGGTTTCGGATGCATCGTTAACGGTGATTAGGTTGGTTGGAATTTCCGTGCCCTGTACTTTGGAAGGGCAGGCAGTTTTCTCTCTCTATCTGAAGGGGGGCCTTGTTCGAATGCTCGGGTGCATGTGCACGGGGTGGGGTGGGGTGGGGTAGGTTGAGGGGAGAGTTGGGTCTGTGGGCGACGACGGAGGGTCGGGAGCACCGTGTCAAGTGCGATTGTTTCCAGAGGGGAGAGGAAATGGGGAGGAGGGGGAAATGAACTGTTGCGGGGAAGTGGCGGACAGTGCATCCGAAGATAAAACAGCTCGTTTTTGTGTCCGCCGCCGCATTTTTTCTATTATGTGCAAGTTCCAAGCCTCTGCCGTGGTCGTGTGTGTGTGTGTGTGTGTTGTAAAACTGGATTAAATCTCAACATAAAGGATGGGGGTATGTGCTGGTGCTGAATCTGCCGCTGTTTTGGAAATTGTGACGTCACTGATGCCACTGATGGGCTCCTTCTCTAGCGCCCCGGTTTGAGTGTCGTGGACAGTGAAGTGACGTGGGGAAGTTCCCTTCTCAATGCTACGACGTAGGAGGAAGATGAACAGACGTGGCATAGATAGAGGCACGAGGTACAAGTAAACCCCTCACAGTTGTGAGTGCGATGTCTAAAGAAGCCCAGGGCCACTGTGTGCATGTGTGTGTACGTGTGTGTGTATGTGTGTGACACCTTGAGTTGCGTTACTCTCCAGAATTGTAACGGGCCTATACGAGCCGGAGCTCGAAGAAAGCCCAATAGTATCCCAACGCTAAAAAAGGAAAATTATGCCGAAAACTAGCCGAATTATCTAGACTGTTATGCCGTAGCAGTGCGCCTGAGCTCACAAAACTTACTGCCCCATAAGCTCTATTTGCTTCTAGCGACCAGCAACATAAACGAAAACGCATTAGCGAGTTACGCATATCGACAGGAATGAACATATTGGCATGCGGCAACCATCAGCTTGGCACAGCGGCTTTCTCAAACGGCAACCCCATCCTGTGCTTCGATTCAGCCATCTCAGGAGCAATTGGAACGAACTTGCACTTCAAACCACCGCGTCTGCAGGTCAGGGACTCACAACTTAGGGTTGTACTTGTCTGGGCCTATGTTGGACAAAGTGGAAAAGGCCTTCCCTGGTCCGCCAGCTAATAAGCCCAAGTACCGGGCGCCTCTCCTACCAGCCGCAGGCCCGCATAGTCTGCTAGGCACGAGAGAGCAAAAATCATGAGCTTGCACTTTCTAACGTTAGGCGTAAGTCCCCAAACGGGACGGAAATCCCTAACGGCATCGAGGAATGCGTGTATGCGTGGCGCGTCTGTAGCCAGGAGGCTGAGGTCAGCAATAGTGGTACCGCTTTGCTTTGCTGTCGATGTGGGGGCCATCAAAACTCAGCTGTTCACTTCGTGCATCCATCGACTATCACCTAAACAACTCAGTGCTTAGGGGGCTTCATGGACTTGCTTGGACTCAGAAAGCTTCCCCGTATCCCTATAAACCTTTAAATGCCATGATGACCACTTTCTCGTAGCTTTTAAATATGGCATGTAGGAGAGGGCCATGAAACCCTCTCTCCTCTAACCCCGGCCACAAAAACAATCGTTGCACCTTATTGGAGGCTCTGAAAGTCTATCTGGACAAAAACAAGCTGGCGTGCCCCGCGTTGGCAACGCACCTGCATGAGGCGCCGCTTGTCGAAAAGCTGATGCACGGTACCAAAGCCCGAAAACCTGAAACCAGCCTGCGTTGGATGCCTGAGCTCGAGGTCCCGACCTGCCTGGACATAACCTTCTTCTGGATCCCCCTGACCGGCCCCATCACTTAGTAATCGCTCAAAAATGCGGACACATATGTGTTTGTCTGTGCACAGTCCTCGTGAAATGCCTTGTTTTTGTCTGCAGACAACCCCATATAAACGCGTGGTCTGCCTTTGGCATCCTTTCCTTGCTCCATTGCCGTTCGGCGAGCGTTGTACTAGGGTAGGGCACACATGGTCGCTAACCCAAGACATGGTCGCTGCTTCCCAACCCTTTAGCACTCCGTGCATTCCACAACGTTTTACGACACAAGTATCATTGCATAGATAGGATTGACTGGGTGGAGGTGCCAAAAAATGAAACGGACTGAACGGAACTAATACCAATGAAAGAACACACCCAGGCGATATCACGGATTAGTTTGCGATAAAGGGCATTGAAGCGCATTCGTTCAGCTACAGCTATGGATGAAGTTTTTTTCTGTAACAGGCTCCCAGCTGAAAGGGGAATTAGAGAACTGAATTGCTGAAATGCAACCTCAGCGGCCGACAACATAAAGGCAGATCTTGATTACGCAGTCGCATCAGGAAAATTTCATTGAAAAAGCGTTCCGGAGGGAACGACTGCAGTACTCCAACGTGGCCCAAACGAACTTAAGGCTCAAATGCCCGACTTTACCACACCGTGGCATTTAATCTACAAAGCTTCTGAATCCAAGCCGACCTGAGGCGAAGATACAAGGTCTGCTTGAAACATTTGTTCTTATCTCAAAGATTTCGTGTCGGGGTGAGTCGCTTTGACGGTCGATTAACATAAATGCTGTAGAAGGTACCGTTTCAAAGGACAACATTTTATTCCTAATTACGTTAGCGAGTTATCCCTCATCAAAACACATTTGCTTGCTTGCTTGCTTGCTTGCTGCACAGTGTGTCAATGGCTCTACTTCTCCAGCAGCAGGTCGCTCACGGGCTGTGCAAAAAGCGGGTAAGGCTGGGGTAGCATTTCCTTGGGGCGTGGCGAGCTGGATCTTAACTTCTTGAATGTCGAGCAGGCCGTGGGACCCTGCGGTGCAGTTCTGCATCGGCCATGTGTGACTCCTGCAAGCACTCGTCCACCTTCGACCTTTCAGTCAGGTAAAGATGCCTCCTTTTCAATGCACCGACATGCTCTTCCGATATACGGAGTTCACTACTTTTGCCATGTTTTTGGCCGCTAGAGACCTCCCGCAGTGGCTTTAATGTTTTCTGCAGTTGAAGGGCTTGCCCCTGTGGTTGGGGCCGGGAGACCGTCGCGGAGTGGCTTCGTCGTTCACGCGGCCGCGAAGACTGCGTCTACCGTTCGCATCATCATCCAAGGCCGCAAGCTGCCAGTGACCAATGCCATTAAGGAGTACGTCGAGGAGAAGGTGGCAAAAGCAATTCAGAACTTTGCGCATACTCTTAAGGAGGTCGATGTCACGCTGTCTGCTCGTGGTGGTGACACAGGAACACACGGCAAGAAGTAAGTCTACCTCACTATTGTTAACGGAACTTCTGCAGCGAAGCACATCAATTTGCATTTCGGTTGTATATCGGCAATATGGGATCGTACGCCAGAGGCAACAAAGTCCGTGTCCGTCGTGTCCTCGTTTCAGTCCCTTCACCTACGTTAACCCACGTCGCCTCGCCACAATCAGTGCAATTCAGACCTCAACTATTTTCTAATTCGCCCTAGACTCTTTTTTTATCCGTTCCTCTCCTCGCCATCCTCCATCCTCCACCTCCACGGCCTCTAGGGAGCAGAAGGTGGACGTGACCATCTTCACGCTCCGCAACGGTGTGGTTCGAGTGGAGGATCGGGAGTCCAACCTGTACGCCGCCATCGACCTGGTGTGTGACAAGATCCGCAGCAAGCTGACGCGGGTGAAGGAGAAGGCCATCACCAAGGGCAAGTGGCCGGGCAAGGCGGGGCCCAAGGAGGATGTGGAGGAGGAGGACTTCCAAGAGTACCTCAAAGATGTGGGTGGCAGTGCGATGGTGGGCGGGCCGGTGCGAGGCAAGAAGGCGGGGCGAGATCTAAGAGGGCAGTCTGGGGGTTTGAGGGTCTCGTCTGGGGAGGGAGAGATCCCTGGGTCATAGGTAGTATCCCTGGAGAGGTATCGTGGGCATTTACTGGAGTGTCTTGCAAGTGGGTAACAGCCATGGTTCAATTGTGATGCTGATATGCGATATGATGGGAGGGTGGTGCAATGGGGCGAAGAAACAGGTTCCGTGGGATTTGAGTTCAGCATTGTTGGGGTGCAGGTGGTCGCATGTGGTCGCGTTGCTCAGTTGGGGGGGAGCAGTACCTCGGTGACCTAGCACTGTCCTAGCACTGACCTAGCACAATAATGGTATCTAGGCTATCCGTTGTTTGGGCATTGGTGGCGCAGGGCCTAGACCGCACTGCCTCTCCCTGCACCGGCCCCGCCTCCCTCGCGTTCGGTTGCAGGTCAAGTTGGAAACCCAGTTGTTCGACAAGGAGGCAGAGCTTCAGAAGCAGTTTGCGGAACTAAACCGCAACTACCCAGCAACCGTCATGCGCTCTAAGACCGTTGTGCTAGGTAAGGCTAAGTAGCCATAGACGGCTTTAATGGTGTTGGCCTGTTAGGAGAGAACTGGTAGGCTCTTTCCTCATATGATCAGATCGTTCTTTCGAGGGAGAAAGGGAGGGGGGGGCAGTGGCGTTGATTTCGCCACTCCGGTGGTTTTCGCCCCTCCGGCCCTTTTCCTTCCCTGGCCTTATTCCTGAGACATCCATAACAGCTGATCCGGCATAATCCTGAACAGCGTTTAATCACATACCTCACCTCCACCGTTGTCCAAATCGCACCCCCCCTCCCTCCCCTCTGTCCACCTCCACCTCCACCTCCACCTCCACTGCTCTCCAGACCCCATCACGGTGGAGGAGGCCATCGACGCGCTGGAGGCCGTAGGTCACTCGTTTTACGTGTTCCGGGAAATGACCACCGACACCGTGCAGGTGTGTACATGAGGCGGTTGTACAGTATGTGGGGCGGGTGGGCGTAAAGGGGTTGATGCGGGTTTCCTACGGAGTACGGACACACTCTTACCGCTGTTAACCGTGTTACTGCTGCTGTCTACTGCTTCTGCTCCCGGGCTGAGTGCTGCCCAGTGGGGTTTTAGGGTTTCTCATCTCGGCATGATGGGAAGTGCGCAACCATTCTTGATTGTTGAAAGTCTCTTCAGAGCTCAGACCCTAGGTTTGCAATGCCCAATCCGCTGCGGGGAGCAAATACAATATAGAAGAAATCAACACAGGTGTGGACACCCACGCCTTCTCCCACGGTCGTGTTGAATTATTTTTTTCTCCTCTCCTCTCCTTACCTTGTCTTTTTCATGTAGGTGGTGTACAAGCGCGAGTCTGGTGGCTATGGAGTGATCGTGCCGCAGATGCGGGACTGACCTGCTTGGGGCGGATGAGGCGCACACACGCACACAGCGAGGGAGGGAGGGAGGGGGGGCTGCGCAGGGAGCGCTCAGGAAAAACCGAATAGTGGGCCCTGAATCCACCGAAGCACGCTCCTATTTCCTTTACATACATACATGCGTGCTTGACCTGCGACATCTAATTATGTGGGACTAATCGATTGGACGATGTACAGTGAGCTCTCCGGATATCTTCTAGATTTCTGTTCTGCTACATGTAGGATGGATAGAAGCAACCCCAGTGCGGAATGCATACTTGGATGGGGGGTTGGCTCTTAAGGGTTTCTGGCGGGCGTGTGCGATTTTGTGTATGCAGTACGTGTCTTCGTATGTTCATTGTGGTGTAAGTGACATGACCTGATTCCGAGATGCCTGCTTGTAAACACGCGAAACATGATGTCTTTAGTACCTAAATGAACTCGTAGCTTTTGTGTAGAGCGATTAGATTTCGTTCACACCGCTTGTGGCGGCAGCAGGGATGGCGGTCGGGGTCGTACCACCGCCAGCATAAAGGTTCCGTCAGGCCCTGTCGGGAAGTAGCGACGGTGCGCAAGCTTTCGCTGCACGCTGGACAAACACGTTACAGCAGTTGATTTTTGCGGGTATATGCCGCGGCCACCGTTGCCGCCGCCGCTAGCCAACTGGCCAACAGCGGCGGCGCCAGGCTGGGTGCAGCTGGGTGCGGAGGAACTGCACCCAGAAGTGCACCTGAAGGAAAAAGGACAAGGCGGGGGAAGGGCGTGAGTAGGCCAAAATTATGGTTAAGATCACTACACAACTGACACACAAATTCAGGTGAAAGCAAGAGTACTGCCGCTGGACCCAACACCACACACCATGCATCAAAACCACAAGTGCCCATCCGCACCCACCTCAGCCGGGTGCTTCATCAGCGACGCCCGTTCGGTGCCGTTGGGCCGCACAGGTTGATGCCCAAGCTGCACCTGAGGATCCATGCACCGCTTCACAAACATACAGCTTCAGATCGTCAACCTGCAACCCCCCGTCGTCAGCCCCACATTCACCACTCGTGGTCTGCCCGCCCGCATACGACCTCTCGCTAACCAGAAACGGAAATGAGAAGGCGGGAAAGGCAAAAGATGGGACAACGCGGGCCGCTATTAACAGGACCGAGCAACGTGTGCGCGGGTTTTTACCAGAGCGGCCCGCATGTGAATCTGTGAAGCTGCTCATGTCAACCACAATATTATCGGTATCACACAGCACAGTCAGCGGGAAATCATTTTTAACAACAGCACAAGCAACACCAGCGTCTGTGAGCCGTGCCTTTTTCAGGCTTTGTAGGGGGGCGCCGTGCTGGCTTGTCATCCCCCCCGCGGCAATAGGTGTTTTGTTTGCCGTGTCTTGCGCTGCGCTGCACCCGGGAGCCCGCAACCCCCAGGAGGAGACTGACGTGCGGACCAGTTTTGCCTCGTTTGTGAGTGGACCGGCGAGGTAGTGGTGGCCGCCCTCGGGAAGTGTTCGTTGTTCGTTGCTCGTGGTAGTTGAACAACTGGCCTTCAAGCGAGTTCTCGCTTTGTGTTTGTCTTCTTTGTGCAACCGTATCTCGGCTTTTGTGGTGTGTCGTCTCAGGCCCGTGGTCCTCCGTGTATCTCTTTCCTTGCTGGCTGCGTGGAGCTGCGCTTGTTTAGGAGAGTCTTCTGAGGGGCCGTACCTGACGTGGGTAGGTCTTCCCTTGCCTCGGGTTTTGAGTGTGTAGTGGAGCCCCCTGAGTAGGGCCCCTGCCCCCGGTGGTGTTTTCTCTTTGTTCTTGTTTTGGTGGTCAAGAGGGACGAGAGCGCTCGACTAGGCAGGCCAGGCGAAGTGGCGCCTCTCGTGCGGCTCTCGCTTAGTTCGGTTCGCAGCCTTCTGCGCCGCTGTGATGCCTAGCCAGGGCTGAGATAGTGTCCCGGATGGAGTGAGTGAGGGAATGAGGCGCGCGCGGAGGAACAGACGGACGTAGAGCCGCGCGCCCGTCCCTGCGCTGTGTTTCGGTTCGGTCAGGGCCCCCGGTGCTCGTCCTTTCTTGGGTGAGCCGCCTACAGTGTAACACCCCATCAACACCAGCTGCATGAAACAGTGACAGGCAAAGCAGTAGCAAGCAAAAATAGCTGTAAAGTTGCAAGTAAGAACAAAACTGTAACAGGACACAGTAAGAAAACGATAACATAAGAAAGACTGAAACAGTAAGAAAGTAGTAAGAATTAGAAGCAAAGCAGTAGCAGTGCATCCGTACACCTTATACACCGAACAAAGTACATGGTACCTGCTCTGACAGCGGCTTCATGGATTGACCCCCTACCTGCTATGACAGCCAACCAACATGAGCACGTGCATGTGCACGTGCCGACTGCGGGCGAGAAGGCGAGGGCAACGGCGTGAAGGCGACGGTTAGGTTGAGGACGCGACGATGAGGACAAGAAGGCGGCGGTAAAGGCGAGAAGGCGGCGGTGAGGGTGAGAAGGCGAGGGCGCGGGCGAGAAGGTGAGGGCGCGGGCGAGAAGGCGAGGGCGAGGGCGAGAAGGCGACGGTAAGGGTGAGAAGGCGACGGTTAGGTTTAGAAAGCGACGGTGAGGGCGAGAAGGCAAGGGCGCGGGCCAGAAGGCGAGGGTGGCGGTGAGAAGGCGACGGTCCCGGTCGTAGGAATGGCCCCTTGGGAAGTTTCACTGGCGGGCGGAAAGCAGACCTCTGTCGAAGACCTGCTCGATACTGCGCAGTAGATTTACAGCTAGCTGTACGGCAGCAACTCACCATAGCGAGTCCATTGGACACAACTAAGCCCGCTTGGACGAGGACGTGTCATCCATCCGTTGTATTTCCTTGTGTTAGCTACGTTCGTGATGGGGAATAGGGCAATACCCGTCCATAATAATCAGCAGCAGATGCAAGATTTCTTTGGCGTTGTCGTGGGTGATGAGTGGCCACGGGCAGATCTGTGTAGTAATTAGCTGTAGGTATTACAGCGAGCCCCCAACCCCCAGGGAATCAATACCCCAGGGTAGGGCCAGGTAGTAATTAGTCGTTTGGTTTACCCACCATCGTCCTGTTGCCCTCCGGATGTTGAGCTGATGAGGTGGGTTTGGCCGGTGTCCACATGGTGATGTCGTAGCGCTGAGCCGTTCACGAACCTCTCATATCTCTTTCGCCTTTTACTAAAGAGATCAGCGAGTACGGCTCACAAGAGGCGCATATCCCCATTATTTGCAAGGCTTTTGCCTTCACCCAATCAAATGAATGCAACAAACAGCTTGGTATTCAAACTGGTGCTCCATGGTCAATCGTCCGCCCGCGTATTAGATGAACCGTCCCTTATCATTGCATAGTCGGCTGAGTGCGATGTCTGAACGGTGTTGTGTACGAACAGAACAATTCGGGTCGCTGTCTGATCCATGCACCGCTTTACATACAGCTTCAGATCGTCAACCTGCAACCCCCCGTCGTCAGCCCCACATTCACCACTCGTGGTCTGCCCGCCCGCATGCGACCTCTCGCTAACCAGAAACGGAAATGAGAAGGCGGGAAAGGCAAAAGAAGGGACAACGCGGGCCGCTACTAACAGGACCGAGCAACGTGTGCGCGGGTTTTTACCAGAGCGGCCCGCATGTGAATCTGTGAAGCTGCTCATGTCAACCACAATATTATCGGTATCACACAGCACAGTCAGCGGGAAATCATTTTTAACAACAGCACAAGCAACACCAGCGTCTGTGAGCCGTGCCTTTTTCAGGCTTTGTAGGGGGGCGCCGTGCTGGCTTGTCATCCCCCCCGCGGCAATAGGTGTTTTGTTTGCCGTGTCTTGCGCTGCGCTGCACCCGGGAGCCCGCAACCCCCAGGAGGAGACTGACGTGCGGACCAGTTTTGCCTCGTTTGTGAGTGGACCGGCGAGGTAGTGGTGGCCGCCCTCGGGAAGTGTTCGTTGTTCGTTGCTCGTGGTAGTTGAACAACTGGCCTTCAAGCGAGTTCTCGCTTTGTGTTTGTCTTCTTTGTCTTCTTTGTGCAACCGTATCTCGGCTTTTGTGGTGTGTCGTCTCAGGCCCGTGGTCCTCCGTGTATCTCTTTCCTTGCTGGCTGCGTGGAGCTGCGCTTGTTTAGGAGAGTCTTCTGAGGGGCCGTACCTGACGTGGGTAGGTCTTCCCTTGCCTCGGGTTTTGAGTGTGTAGTGGAGCCCCCTGAGTAGGGCCCCTGCCCCCGGTGGTGTTTTCTCTTTGTTCTTGTTTTGGTGGTCAAGAGGGACGAGAGCGCTCGACTAGGCAGGCCAGGCGAAGTGGCGCCTCTCGTGC